TGTGTGTGTGTGTGTGTGTGTGTGTGTGTGTGTGTGTGTGTGTGTGTGTGTGTGTGTTCACCACAGGGACACATAGCATATTCCGATGAGGCATCTGGATACATTGACTCAGATTCCCAGTCCAGTAGCTCCCAGTACCAGGATTCGCCGTCACCATCCTCTGACACGGGGAGCAGGAAGGACAGAGGTGCCCTGCCTCTTGCACCACTGTCAGGTAGAGTGGCACACACACACACACACACACACACACACACACACACACATAGACAGAACCACATTTGAACATGTGTGTAAGAACTAAAACTCTCAACTGCCTACAAATACCAAACGTCTCCCACACAGCATTCTGTTTTCATGCACGCACATATGAGACAGTGTTACCTCATATTTGTATTTACATCCCCTTTTTCCTCCTAAGGAAAGAGGAAGGAGCGGCTGTTCCAGTTCCTGTTTGAGATGCTTCAGACGCCATCGATGCGTAGCTGCATCTGGTGGGTCCAGTCCTCCTCTGGCACATTTCAGTTCTCTTCCCAAAACAAGGAGAGCCTGGCCCAGCTGTGGGGTCGGCGAAAGGGGAATCGCAAGCCCATGACGTACCAGAAGATGGCACGGGCTCTAAGGAACTACTCTCGCACAGGCGAGATTCACAAAGTTAAACGGAAGCTCACTTACCGCTTTGATGAGAAGACGCTAAAATGTCTACAGGGAGACTCAAATACAAAGTAGAAACAATGAGTCTATATTAGCATAGAAATAGAATAAGGACAAAGGATGTCAAGGGAAATCACTTTGGGTGTCCCATGAATCTCGTGTCTGCTTATTATAGTTCTGTGGCATTTTGAATAACAAATGAATACTGAGTATTTGAAAGCCAGAAGCGGATGCACCGTAGCTCAGAGTCAGTTATACATACAGACCCACATTGTATTCAGTGTGAGGGGAAGAACTGTAAATGCAAACTTCAGGTACAGGCTAGGTGGGAGAGGTGATCTGGCTTTTATCATGTAAATCGAAAAGGTTATTGTAGAACATCTACTTTATAAGTAGAACTTAAATCCTTCAAATAAAAGTAGCATATTTCTCTTCTTTGTGTGTGATTCTGTATCGCAGATGTTTAGCAGATACAGTTTACAATCATCTTCTTCATTTTGGTTAAGAAAACACGATCTGTTTGTGTCAAAAATGTCTTTTTTATGATAAAATAAATCTGCACATATTTTCAGAACATCTGACTATATGCTTGTGTGTGTGTGTAAAATGCTAAAGATAACCCGCACAGTGCATGTGGCTCAAATAAACACAGACATGGACGGACAGACCTGCACCCACAGCCAAAATTGTATGCAAAGTGAGCATGCAGGGAAAAACCGCCTCTAAAAACAGACGTGTTAATCAGTAACATCTAAAGAGTCTGCACACACAGACGCGAGCACACACAGATACACACCCTAACTTTGATGAGAAGTAGACTTTTTCTCTATAAAGCTGCCAAACTGAGTGTCAATCCCAAGTTAAATAAACAATAGTACCTATTGTACTATTGTACTAGTACTTGATTTATAGAACACACTCACAGGTTTTGTTCCAGTAGTTTCTTCGTGCCACATTTGCAATGTCAGGTAGTAAAAGTGACTCATTGGTGTATCATGTATTGTATTTCTGTATGATTTTGACCTGTTTCGATACTTTCATTCCAAAAGAAAGACAGAAAAGAAATTCTACCTTTTCCTGAAATCCACGTTTCCTTTACTGCGGTTACCAAGTACCTCGTGGCTTAAAATGTAACAGTCAAAACTGAGTTCATAGATCTTTCTCTCCACTAGTAAAGACTAGTGATTTTTATCCTTAAGCTGTAAGGCTCAGAGTAAAATGCAACTGTAATAGAAATTCAGTCAGGTAATAAACATAACCATTATGTGTCATTAAAAACCTTTGTCTTTATGGGACTTTTGTTTGCATGAAAGCTTTCGCTTTTGATTCATTCGATACGTGTTGCTGAGGACACATCTCTACTTGGACTTGTCGTAACAGAACTTTTAAATGTCATCTTGCTGCAACTCCAACTTTCTTTCACCCCCTACAGCACGAAACACACCCCTTTTGTGGAAAAGCCACATTTACATTATTGGGAGTAGGGAAAGGCTCTTCACTTACTGATGAAATACAGATGGCGTCTCCATGGAGTGCATGCCTGTTGTTCGTGCACGTACAAGCGCATGCATGTTCGCATATAAAAAGTGACAAACCATCGAATGTGTTGGATGTTACTCAGCTGCCTTCGAGGAAACTCGTTCTGTCATTCGTAGCAGCTTCTGGTTGTCTTGCTCTAATGGCTGAATGGAGCTGGGTGGCCTACACAGTACTGGAAGTGCTTATTGCTGCAGCATGTTGCTTTGGTAACGTGTTGGTGATGTGTGCTGTGTGTTTCGGTATCCGGGATTCCCTTCGGGAACCAACATTCTGCTTCCTCGTGTCCTTGGCAGTGGCTGACTTCCTTGTGGGTGTGGCCGCTGTGCCCCTTGCAGTATTATTGGATGGCTGGGTGAGTCTAATCCCTGAGTTGTGCCTGCTTCTCAGCTGTGTTGTGCTGGTGTTGACGCAGGCATCTGTGCTGTCACTGCTAGCAATTGCTGTGGACCGATACCTGCGGTTGCACACACCACTCAGGTGAGGTGAACTCTGGGTCTCCTGTTTTGTGAGTGAACACTGTGATATTTTCAGGTTTTCCCTTTTATTGTGCTTCATCCCTCTTTCAGATACAAAGCCTTGGCCACACAAAGGCACACATGGATCGGCGTGTCTGTTTGCTGGATGCTTTCATGTCTCCTTGGCTTCACTCCTCTATTCGGCTGGCACAATTACTCCTCCCCAGCATCTGATTCCACCAACACATCTTCCACTTCTTTCATCCGTCCGCCGTGCACTTTCCTCTCAGTTATCTCCCTCCCTTTCATGGTCTACTTCAACTTTCTCGGATGTGTCATGGCACCCCTGCTGGTCATGACCCTCCTCTACACTCGAATCTTTTGGAGCCTACAGGGACGTCTAAAGGACAGCTGCCCTCAGTCCCGGGCCTCTCTGCTCAGGGAGAAGAGGCTGGCCTGCTCCCTGGCTCTCGTCCTCATCTTGTTTGCTGGCTGCTGGATTCCTCTCCACCTGATGAACTGTCTGCTGTTGTTTCAAGGCCCTCAGGCTGTCACACAGGGAACGCTCTATACAGGCAGGTGACAGTACTTTTTCTAGCCCTTACGCAGTTTGCAACTGGTTGTTAAATATTCGAGAGCATGTGACTCATTAACACCACTTGCTGTGAAATGTAACACTAGCCAATCCAAATGTTCCAGGTATTCTCCTGTCTCACGCCAACTCAGCAGTCAACCCTGTGATCTATGCCTGTCGCATTCCAAAGATCCAGCAGGCCTACGGTCAATTATGGAGGCGCTTCCTTGCGTGGTTAAACTGCTGCCATCGGGAAAAAGCAGGTTCGCAGATCATTAACATGCAGCTGAGCCATTAACATGCACATCTGGATAAAGATGGAACAGCAGTCTCCAATAAGGGGCCTTTTGGACTTTGTCAGGAAGTTTGTATCTGCTCATTGAGTCTGTGTTCAACCATCATGTAAAGCTTTATTAAAGCGAATCGCATAGACTGGGGAAAGAAGCCAGTTGAGTGTAATTTCCATTTATGGATATTTGTGCAAACGTTATTCTACAGATAGCAATTTCCTGTGTCTCCACTAGAGGGCGGCACACACTAACCATCGGCACAGCTCCTGTTCGACGACAATCACAACTGCAGTGTGTGACAAATAATTTCAAGCTGCCGTTCACTGATTTTTGGACAACTTATTTAAGACAAATGTGACTTTATTAAAATGTACATCTTTCAAAAGCACATAAGTTAACACTTCCAGTCAATTCAACACTAATCATGCTGCGTGTCTTCCTCCTCCTTTTTTATTATATCTGGCAATAAACGTCATACTTGAGCCATGTGTTGTATGTTCCTCAGTGTGCAGCGAGCTCCTCAGGGAAGGCAATAGACTGTATAGTTATCACCTGAGCAGGGTGCAGTCCCACCCACCAAACTATACAACCTACTACCTCACCCTGTCAGAGCCCAAGTCAAACACACCCCAGGTTCACCTTTCTAAAAATGTTGGGCCTATTTACCTGCTCGGCGTGAAAACAAGAATAAGACTGCTGAAAGCTCGTGTTTTTGCTTGGAGACGGCAGTCGGCGAGCGGCTGACTCGGCTGTCTCTTGGGAAAGACAGTAGATTGTATAGTTATTTAAAAAAGAGGTTACACAACCCCACAACTATTCAATCTACTACCTCAGCTCCAAGGACAGCATCCACGTTGCTTCGACATCGAAGATCCGCAAAGGTATCCTTCCTGCAACGGCACAAAGAAAGAAAGCGCTCAATAATATTAACTAACTCACTGAAATCATCTGGTTATTCAAGTTTTATTCTCGTGTACTTTTAAAAGTTACATTTTTCACAATATCTTCGAGTGTTGAAATTCAACCTCTGCAAAAAGCAGCCTCGTTGCATTTTTGCTTTTGTTCTCCGTGTCTGTTTTATTTGGTTTAAAATAGGTACGGCTCAAAGTCACGAGTGAAAGTGCTCACGCCTCACGCCAACAAGTCTTCAACTGCCAAGATTTGGAGAAACATTTATCGCTTCTAAACAAAAGAAGATCCTCACGATCGACCCCGTTTTTCTGTAACGTCTTTAAGAAACACGTTCCGCTAAAAGAAATCACAGGCAAATCATTTTAACGGTGAGTGGACGACGGAAAGTGAGAGCACTAATGTGTGAAAGCCCAACAAACAACTCACTGGCTTCCTGAGACTCTGGCATGTGATCGAAAGAGAGAAAAAAAGCGAGCTGCTCGATTCTGTGCCAGGAATCCTGCGTTTTCGCCAAAAACTGAGCTCATTGCAGCGGCTATCCCTGTGCAGGCTGGCTGCTGCTCCTCAGACGGAGGTACACACACAGATGCCTGCAAATATGGCTTCCACCAGCTGCCTCTCATTGAATACAAAGCTGGGATTCTGCCCCCCAAAACACAACAACGAAACACAAAATGGCGTCTTGCACATCGGCCATTTTAGGTCTGCTTTAAAACACTGTAAGGGTCTACCTTTTAGGTTTTTCGTGAGCTTGCTGCATCGTGATGAAGAAAGCACAGCTGTTCTATCAGGAGTGATGGAGAGTCAGTCCTGTGCCAACACTAAGGCGAAGCCAAAAGAGCCAGACGACACTCTATCACGGAGCGAGAGGGAAACTCTAACTTTACTTATCAGGCAGCTGGACGAAGCCACGACCGCGTGCAGCATGTTTCTGTCCGTGTAATGTTTCAGTAGCACCCTCACAGAGCGGGCAGGCATTTTGCTCTGTTAAAGTTTGATTCATTTGGGAAGTCGTTGCTTCTCCTTCAGCCATTACCAGTTAAACTATTGCTAAACATGAGATAAAGATTAGCTCCGTGCACATCAGGTTGACATGCCAGTAACTGCGGGGTTAATGAGTGGCAGACAAACGCCAGGCCGGGGCCTCAGACTAACAGAGATGAGGTTAGAAGGTACACCGCCTGCATAAATTAGCATAAAGCCACGACCCCTGAGACTTGGTCCAGACCAGCCTATAGTTAGCATGCAGTAGACCCTGCTAGACTGACTACAGAAGACCAGACAGACAGAATGGGTGGGGGTGCGCTGGCGTGACGCCCGACTCTGTCACCACGCCAGTGACAGATCTATGGGCTCTGCTTAGTCGCCAAGAAACGTCCCCCGACTGCAGCCGCGTTCGGAGGACGAGGCTGATACGACGCAGTGCTCTCGGAGAAATGGGTCAAGTTAACGAAGATTTAACAAGACATCCGAGTAGGAAAACATGCACACAATAAATGCTGGTGGGGAGTTCTGTGCTTTCTGGGTTAATTGCGCAAAACCGGAGTCGACGCGGTCAGTCACGTGCCGGGCGCTGTCGTCTGCGGGCGCAGATATTTTCCGTGGCGCGTACGTATGTCCCGGCTGGCCCGATAACTTTTTCTTGAAAATAAACGCAGCTCTCGTCTGCGGGGCAGCTGGAGGAACTTGGAGAAATCTGGCCTTCTGAGCTAATCCCATCTGCCTATCAGACAGACTGTGCATCTGTCACAGCAGAATCACGGCTGAATGTTTGTAAATTCACAGCGGCGGTTTCAGTGTAAGCCAAGAAACGTGGGCCTTGTCCACTCGTACCCTCTGATAACACGACTCTGCTGTGACCAACCAGGATGTGTTTTGCTGGAGGCGATTTCCTGCCTCGGCCTCGTCATCCTTCTCTGGGTGACAGTCACACGTGTATTTCGAGGTTTCCAAAAGCCTCTGACAGTTTGAGCTCTTTGGCATCACTTTTCTCTATAAAGCCCACAGAATAAAATTTCAACATCAAGTCTTTTTATACCAGTTACTAAACTGGGAGGCCTTTTTAAGAAACACTTTGCCTTCATTGTGTTTCTAGAAAGAAGCCAAAGTGGACTTTTGTGGACCGCAGACTAAAATCAGAATGGATGGTTTAATGTTTTAATGGACATATTGACCACGCCGTGCCCACTCATTTTGTCCTCTCTTCTTTCTTTCTAAACATGTCGGTGTCAAACAAAGAGCAAACGCCATTAAAACGGCGAGCAAAGGGAACCGGGTTTTACAAACTTCACGTCTCCACATTAAAACAAACAGAAACCCACGTGAAAAAAAGGATTAAGAATATAATGGAAACCAGCCTTAGCTCCTCTCCTCCACTGACGGGAGGATTCAGACTTTGTCCCCCACCGGGCGATTTATTCCTTGTCCGATGCAAACAACGTAAACACGCGGGTTAATTATCGAATCTCAGAACACTCGCAGCATACCCAGTTGCCAACAAAAGTCCTCAAAATTGGAGCAGATTATCGCAGGAAGCAGAGGCAGGAAAACACCTATTGGCTCGCCTGGTCCCTCGGTCCGCGAGACAGAATGAATGTTTGGCACAGACACAACGGACGGGGCACCGCACCATTGGTACAGGTTCTTGTGTGTTTCTCTCTTTCGCTCTCTGAGCTTTGTGCCAAGAATGGACAGAGTCTGTGTGCCAGGCAGAATTTCAATAAGGGGAGTAAGGAGGTGGAGGTGGTGGTTAAAGAGGGGGAGGAGCGGTGGCGTTGATGGAGGAAGTAAGCCACAATAGATGGCAGAGTGAAGAATTCCCCGACTGACTGCTTGTCTAACTCACGTCCATTCTTACTGATCCTCTTAAAAGCACCATGGTGACTTTATCACACAAGCTTTCATCCTCCCACTCTCTCAGGAACGTCCTGCATTAGAGGACGAAGGAGCACTGAGCCCCTACCATCCCACTTGGCATGGTGCCCGCTCTGATGTTCTGTATATCCTCATTAGCTAGGCACAACACACAGCTCACGCTCGCATGTATGCAGAGATATGCTGCCATATGTGTGTACTAACACAACCGTACACTGGTACAGACAACACAGCACAGTTGCTCAAACTGTGGGCATTAAAGGAGCTCAGTTGATCTTGATTAGATGAATGGTAATTAAATAAAAAGGCTTCCAGGCTTTTGCGATCAGTGTTTTGGTTTTGTGCAGTAGATGGCTGCACAGACAAATGCTGAACTGACATGAGTCAGCCTGAGCGCTGGATAAACATGCTGGACAGTTTGTTTGAGGAAAAGATATATGACCCAGATACGCCAAGAGCATATGGGAGTCACTGTGCTGACTATCAGCTTCCAACAACAACCTGACCCATAGATACACATATAGACAAGGAGCTATGGCTGACAGGCCAAACAGCCAATCTGCAGGCTTGGGCTGTGTGGACAGTCCTCCAAGTAGTCGAATGACTAGTGTGTGTCTCTAAAATCTCCGAATGAAGAAAGGTCGCTTTCCTCCTCTCCATCTACTTTCTCTGTCCTCTCATCTCCACTTGTCTATGCTTTTGCTAATGTGCTAATGAGATGTGTGGTTACCATGGTTTCAAATGTTTCTGATAGCTCAGAATCCTGGCCTTGCATGTCGCTACACGCCCACATGTTAGAGCATTTACAAATGCCACACGGTGCAGACTGTACACAAGCATGCACGTATACAGCATATAATCACAAACACTTGGAAAGGTATGCCCTTTCAAAGCCAGTGCATGTGTGCGTGTGTGCATGTGCATATTTGTGCACATGCACACAAAGAGAATGCGTGCAAAAGTGCAAAGCAGTGTATGTCAGGACGAAACAGCTGCAGCTTCCTGCATGAGAAGAGAAACTTCCTGTTGCTTCGCTCCAAACCGCGGTCGGTCAGCCAAGATATCAACCAATCAGCTATGTCGAGGCTGAATGAAGGAAGTAAGCCTGACTGCCTCTAGGAGAAAAACTCAGAAGCATTATGAGGCAACACGATAAGTTCATCTGAGGATACGAGAGGGGCGGGGAAAGAGCACTCCCACTCCTACCTCTCTTTCTATCTCTGTAACTTTTGATC